AAAAAGATAGGAACTTTCTGTAATATGGCTCCTGATGACTAACCAATACTGATAGTCAACCATTGTTAGCTTACATTTACATTTATGGCATTTGGCAGACACTCTTATCCAGAGCGACTTACAATTTGATCATTTTTACACAGGAAGGCGAAGGTAGTGTTAGGAGTCTTGCCCAAGGACTCTTATTGGTATAATATAGGGTGCTTACCCAGGAGGGTATGGAACCCCAGTCTACAGCATAGAAGGCAGAGGTGTTACCCACTACACTACACACTACTACTACAATGTTTTACATGTTATATTAAAATGTAAATGAAAGACAAAGAAACAGATCCAACTAAAAAAAAATGACAAAAAATACAAAATCTACACACAGTTGACTAATATTACAATCTTGTGACCGGCTAAGTCACTAAAGCGGTTTTGCTTCCTGGCTGTGCGTGCACCCAGTAATGTTTGTAAACAGGAAACCCGTCTATAAGAGAAGTGTACTCGCTATAAAAGGCACTTGCAATGAAAATCTAACTCAACAGTTTATGCTTCTGTCTTTAATGTCTGTGTGTGTCTATTGTGTGTATAAATTCAGCTAAATGTTATCTGTAGATATCACAAGTTCTCAAGCATTGAAATAATTAATAATAGACACGCTAATGAAATCCCTCATATGTTTAATGGACTGTCCTTCTCCCTTGCATACAAAGCTGAAGTGACCAGCAACTGAAAAATTTTGTTTCTCCAGAATCCCATCAACACAGGATGGAAGTCAGTCAGAGATGATAACTGAGCAATGATTATTGTTTGATTATTTCATATCATGCTCTCCTGCAACATACCTGCAACAAAAAGGGAAAAAAGAAAACCATACGGTGCTGTAATGAGCTTGTTTTTGAAAATGGAGTTTGACGTAAATATCACTGGTGTCAAAACGTACGGTTTTACTGCTCAGTACCTACAGTCCATTTATGGAAACTAAACTGCACACACACAGCCTGTTTAGAGTCTTTGTGATGTCACAAAAAAACAATGCATTTATATAAAAATTAAGTATGAATTTTTTGGTACATTAAACAACATAATGGAACCTCAGGGGGAAAAAATAAGATATGGGCCTTTTAAAAAAAAGTTTTACAAAAAAAAATTTACATTGATATTAAATTGATTTGAATTTTCTCTGTGTGTGTGTGTGTATATATATATATGTGTGTATATATATATATATATATATATATATATATATATATGTGTATATATATATATATATATATATACATACAGGGTTGGGATAGCTACTGAAAAATTAGTAGCTAGCTACAATTTAGCTACTTTTCCAGAAGAAGTAGTGACTACTTTTTAGCTACTTTCAAAGTGCGACTGTCAGAATGTTTGTGAATCTCCACCTGACACACCAGACAAGCCCAACTGAACATGTGAACAAGACACTACATTTCATCATGAGCCAGAAAGAAACACACAATTGAAAAGCTGCGAATATACAAAACATACACAACCAAAGGCGTGATATCCAACAAAAATTTAGACTAAAGGCAACGTCAATCATTCCAGGTTTTTCCTAACAAAAATCAACAAAAATAACTGAATACAAACCAAACAATTTTGTGCAAAACATTGTCAACTGTTCAAATAAAACTGCTCTAATTTAAACATTTCAGCAAGATATTTACAGTTATTCAGAGTCCTTTAAACTTCAGCAACACTTTAGCCTCAAAATCCTCATCAGTGACTCTGGCTCTGTTTGAGGTGAGAATCAGGCCTTAATAATCTCTCCACTGCTGCAGAGCTGCTGCAGCTCCACAGCAGAACTAGATTTTTAAGTAAAATAACATATAATAATCCTCCTTTACTGTAAAATCATTATAACACAGTTCTAACACAGTTTTCATAATAAATGGTCTTAAATGCTGGAGTTAATGTAGAACTGCTAATTCACCCTTTAACCCTGAAAATCAGCGCAGACTGCTGGACACACAGCAATGCAAACAACGAAAAGGCAAAGAGAGAGATTTAAGATGAACATCGATAATTTGGAGGTGAATGGACTTATTTGCATTCATAATCACTCAGTTTCCTCATACGTTTAATCTGCAACAACTCACAAAGCTGAAGTCAGCTTCTCATTTGCCAGCTTCTCATTCGAATTGTCCCGTTCCACCTTAAATGGCGCAGAAGTACAATCTGGTGCCTCAAGCACCATTTAAGGTGGAACAGAACAATTCGAATGAGAAGCTGGTGAATGAGAGTCTGACTTCAGCCTCGTAAAAAGTCGAACATTGAGAGATATTTTACAAGAAGCTCGCGGAAAACTTTCCCGAGATGCGAGAGAAGTGGCTATAACTGAGCTAAAGTTTAAAGCAGAGCAAACGAAGTCTGCTTTTCCTGTATATTATATTTTTTAGCCTATACTAGCACATACTGAGACATTTACAGCCAAGGTGGTAAAACGAACATAAGGTGTTGTGGCTCCCAAGGTTGTTTGATTTTCATTGAAAGGACAAAATGGCTCTTCTTACAATCTGGGTTGCGACCCATGAGCTAAGCCTACTAGTAAGGAGTGATCACCGCATGGGACCCACGGGTGCCCGTTTGCTCGAACTGTCAGCGGCTCAGTCAGGATTGCACAGTCGCCACCAGCCCAGTTAACGGCCACGTTCTATGGTTCAGATTTTGCGCGGATTGCCTGAAGCCTGTAGCGAAATTGTAGTGAAAATTATCACTATAGCTACACAAACATTTGTAGGCGCTACAGCTGTTAGTAACATTTCATAATACTGTAGCGGCTGCTCCCGAGTGGCGCAACCGTCTAAGCGTTGTCCCTCATCAGGGGATCGCGAGTTCGATCCCTGGTGATGCTACAGCCGTCCGTAGCCGGGAGTCCGAGAGAGCACAATTGGCCTTGCTCTCTCTGGGTGGGTGGGATGGCTGCCTCTCTCCCCCCATCACTCAGCGTGATGCTAGTCAGCGCAGGCGTCTGTTAGCTGACGTAACAGATCTGGCGGTTGGCGCTTTCCTCCGAGCGCGTTCAGCTGTCCAGTGACGTTGCATGAGCGGCACCTCGAAAAGAAAGCGGTGGCTGGTTTCACAGGTCTCGGAGGAAGCCTGTGTTAGCCTTCGCCCTCCTAGCGTTGATAGCGTTGTGTGATTGGGGGAGTCCTAACTAGCGGGTGGAATTGCAGACGACTAAATTGGGGTAAACCTGTAGCAGCTACAGAAAATTTTAGCTAGCCTCAAAAAGTAGTACTTAGCTACTCTCCCATCTCTGTTATTATTATCCCATGTTATTGTTAGTTGGGTGGGAATTTCATGATGAATGGACATACAGAAATGGTCCAAATTACTTGCATAAAAGTCTTCACATTATTTCCCATTCAAAAAATCTCCTGCCCTGAAATTTGTAACAAGTGCTCTGAAGGTCTAAATAAAAATGATGAGGTAAAAAATCTCCTTCTCTTAGAAATGTACTTGAAAAAAAGTACAAGTATTCAATTTCAGTAATGCTGGAATGAAGTACAGATCTTCCAAAATTATAATGAAGTACAGTAGCAAAGTACCTCTCTCTGTTAATGTTAGATATCAAATATTATCAGCAGTGTATAAAGCAAGGCAAGTTTATTTATATAGCACTTTTCATACACTGCTGTCATTCAAAGTGCTTTACAAATGAGAAAATACAGAGTTGTTTAAAAACGTAAGGGAGAATAGAAATTAAAAACATGATTAAAACATAATTAAAACAATAAAATTAAAAGAGAAAATCATTAAATTAAAAATCAAATTAGAAATTTAATTAGGATAGTTAAAAATCAAATAAAAAAAAAACTGAACGTTAGTTTAGAATAAAAAGCGCCATTACAGAGGAAAAGGGGCTAGAAACACTAACAGTGTTTAAATCCAGGCTCAAAACATTCCTGTTTAAGAAGGTTTCAGCTCAGTTTAAAGTGTCCAGTGTTGGGGCTCTTCTAATGCTCTCTGTACACTGGGTCCATTTAGCATAGTGGCTAAAGTAGCTAAACGCTGCTTCTCCATGTTTAGTCTTCACCTTTGGCAGGACTGACTGACCATTCCTAATGATCTGTTTGATCCCGAGAGTTCTGATTGGCTCATATCGCTGCAGCAGATCAGATAAATACGCTGACATGTATAGAACAGTAACAGCAACTTAACGTCTATTCTGGAACAGACTTGTAACCAGTGTGAGGATTTAAGAATGGGGGGTTCTTCTTTTACTCCTAGTGAGACTCTGGCAGCTTTACAGTGATCAATCCTACTAGAGATACAGGCGTGGATGAGGTTCTCCAGGTCTGGTTTAGTCAGAACATCTCGGACCTTGTTGATGTTCCTAAGGTGATAAAAAGCTGATTTAGTAACTGCTTTAACACGACTGATAAAACTGAGATCAGAGTCCATCAGTACACCAAGGTTACGTACTAGATCTTTAGACTTTAGGGCTCTTGAATCCAGATAGGCAGCCAGTCTGTGCCTCTCATTGCTATTCCCAAATAAAATAATCTCTGTTTTATCTTTATTCAGCTGCAGAAAGTTTTGTCCCATCCAGTTAGTGATGAGCTCAAGGCACTTACTGTGTGAGTCAAGGGGACCACAGTTGTTTGGGGAGAGGGCCAAGTAGATGTGAGTGGGGCAACAATGTGGCTCCACTCTGTCCATCAGGACATCAGATATCAGCTTCACCTGCTGACTTTTCTCCCATAAACACATTAATAATAGTTATTTACAGGATTCTGGTGTGTGTGTGTGTGTGTGTGTGTGTGTGTGTGTGTGTGTGTGTGTGTGTGTAGTCCTGCAGGCGAGGGTGGACTGTAAGACTGTAGGACAGAGAGTGGTGAAACTGACCTGTAGCCCCACCTGCTGGCCCAGTGGACGCTGTTACTACAAATGGTACAGAGAAAGAACGTGGCACAGCAAGGAAGACATAGGATGTTCATATAGTGACTCAGTTTGGTTGGTCTTGGACACCAGTTCATCTAATCAGGACAGCTACACCTGTCAGGTGTATAACAACATCTTCCCTCTACTAAAATGTAAGTATCAGTCAGTCTGTCTCTCAGCACCAAACCACTGAAGACAAGTAATTCCAGAAGAAATTCAGAACCAGAAAATAACCTGCATTTAGTAGCAGTTTCAGATATAAAGTATCAAAGATCTCACTTTGAAAATAAAAACGCTCTTTTGTTGTACAGTTTTTTTTTTCATATCTTAATGTCACTACAAGTTGAGACACTTTTTGACAGCTAAACAATAAAATCCTCAGGTATATGGAAGTAGCCTTTTCCAGGATCAACAAAACACAGATAGAACGTTTTAATTCTAAGAAATGTTCGTTATATCAAGAATAATAAGGTTCAGTCTGCTAACAAACTAATATACTTGAATGTTTCACATACAAAATATATACATTCTTAAAACATCCAAAACATATACAGGAAATTTGTTTTCAGTGTAATAAAATGTATCGTGTCTGCCACTGTATGTACAAGAAAAAATCATTCTATGTACAGTATTGTGTAAAAGCGAGAGACCATTCTTTCATTTATTTAATTTTCAATCAAAACGGCCATTAAGTACAAGTTAGGCTGTCTTTGCATGGAAACTTACATGGAACTTAATTGCACTTGGGTTGTAAATCGAACTCATTTAGAACTCAGCTGCAACAGTTGAAAGTGTGTGAACTCTGTGATACGAGTTTCATGAAACAGCCAATCAGTGCGCTAATAGCGTGTCATGTGATCATGTTGAACGACATCATTTCAAGCGATTGATTTTACTGGATGCATTCATATGAAAATAAAACAAAACATACTTAATTGGATACTTAACTAGCAAGCTAACACTAACAGCTGTTTACATAGCTGTTGTGCCACTGTTCTTCTTTATCCCACTGTTATCATGATCTACACGGCTACATTCACTTTCCCCCTTAAATTTATACATTATTATACGTACAGTTTTTAATTTTTATTATACATACAATTTTTATACAAAACTGTAAGGTAATGGTTACTTAAACATACATTTTAAAAGTTTTACCACAGGACAGAGTAAATCTCGAATATATAGTAAAGAGCTGTAGACAGAAATATAGGTAAATGATAAATCCAATTTCCAAAAAGTCAGGACAGTAAGTAAAATACAAATAAAAACAGAAAGCAGTGATTTGTAAACAGTCTTTTACAGGTATTTAACTAAAAACCACACAAAGAAGAGAAATGGAATATTTTGTCTTATAGACTTTGTTGATTTTTGTAAATATATGCAAATTCCAAATATGATGCCTGCAGCTTATATCAAAAAAAAGTTAGGACTGGGGCAGTGTAACACTGGGAAGTCTGTGGAATGATCAAAAACACCAGTTTTGGAACTTTCCACAGGTAAACACCTGATGCTATTGTGGCCTGGCATTCAATTAGCCTACAGATAATAAATGGCTTGACAATGCCACCTAGGAAATTGCACTACAAAGTTCAATGCAGATAAAAGATTTTTATCACACAGCTAAGTTTGTCAAACAGGACAGAGATGTAATTCAATTTAAATGGAGAATTTAATACATTATTTAAACTCCATTTTATAAAGAGAAAAAATACATTTAAAATTTCTTATTAGTACAAAATTTTAAAACCAGCTATTTTTCCTCATAAGACAAGACCCCAAATAAATGACCAAGTGTCCTGGATGTGCACTGCAATACATGCATAATGTTAGGAAAGAATAAAGTAACCAGGAGGTTTGGGCCGTCACCATCCCTAAAGAGGATAGATTCAAACTGCTGACCAAAGTGAAACATATAAACATGCCTGACATTAATGTGGCTGAGCCAGTTTGCTGAACCTATTAAATTTGCTAGTTAGAACCCTCTAGGAGTAACAGGAATAGCCCTTTCCTGGTTCAGATCTTACCTGACTGGTTGCCAGAATTTGTGAATGTAAACAGTGAATCTTCTGTTCTCACAAACGTAAAGTATGGTGTTCCCCAAGGCTCTGTTTTAGGACAATTATTATTCACATTGTTTGCTACCACTGGGTACCATTGATAATAAACAGAGCATTAATGTCCACTGCTACGCGTGGACATTGAAAGGACATGAAAGGATTTGCAAATCACTGCTGTCTGTTTTTCTTTACATTTTTCATTTTTTCTACTTTGTCAATACAGAAAAAGGAACAGTGAAAGCTGGAAAATTATAAAACTGATAGATTTGATATTACAATTAGTGTTGCAGACTTGTTTAATTTTCTGTTAAATATATATTTCCTGTTATTTTTCTGACACAGAAAAATTAATAATGTACTTAATGGAAGCTGTGACTGGAAATTAAATACAATATACTTTTGCACAGTACTGTATATTTGTTTTATTTCAAGAATTTGGGTTTCATCATCATCTGAATATTATCAGTGTCTTCAGGAAAAATATATAAAGAATATATATAAAATATATAAAGAATTAGAATATTGTTTAATAGTATACATTAATTACTACATCAGGATGTACTACTGTGTACAGGAGGCAAAATAGCAGGAAGTAGAATAAATGTTGTGCTACATAAGAAGGAAAAAGAAGAGACAAGCGGCTCCATCATGTCAGTTTCTTGATATTGTGGTGGTTTTCTGCTCTGTGTGTCCTCTACTTCATTTGCATATCTTTCATGAGTGTTTGCAGGGCTGCTGCGCTGTGTAAAGCAGTGTTTCTCAGTGACTGACTGTGTTTAGCACTTAGTCCCGCCTCTTCCTTGGGGCCATTGCAGCCTGTATTTACTGTAGTACATCTTGCTCTCTCTGTCACTGTCTGTGTCTGTCTTTCTGAAAGCTAGTGCTTATATTACACCTCTAGATGGACTTGATGAGTGTCATTCTTTGGAATTGTCAGACAGTAGAATGACTGGGACTTCAAAGAATTATAAAGAACTGCATACATCATTCTTAAATCAGAGATTGTTTCTATAATGTCAGGCTGGGTAGTTTAGCTAGATCGTAATTAGTGAGAATATTACAGTTTCAGACTGATATTATTATATGACATCATTTCTTCTTCCTGCCTGTGACTCTGTGTTCCAGGTGAACTGGGTGACCAGCAGTGGGCTGGGACCTACGCTCCTGAACGTGTCTGTGCTCTGAAAGGGTCATCAGTTAATTTGTCCTGCACTTATAAACACCCTGAAGGACTCAGAGTGACTAAATCATTCTGGTACATTGAAAGTCTCAGGCAGCCTGGTGTTGAGCCTGTGGATGTGCGACAGTATGATCTGTATAAGGGGAGAGTGCAGTACAGCCAGACCCTGAACTACTGTAGAATGACCATCACTGACCTGAGAGAGAGTGACGCTCACACATACAAGTTCAGATTCTACACTGATGGTCCTGAGGACAAATACACCGGCGAACCTGGAGTCACTCTGTCTGTCACAGGTAACTCTGGATAATAAAGACCTGCATTCTGACTAATTCTGATATTCCAGTATATGTAAGAGTGAATGAATGGATATTCGGTTAATCTCAGGGAGGGAAAAAGGAAGTAGACCTGTATTATTTCATCTCAGATTTTCTCTGATTTAGCATAACAAATACCCCAACAGTGATTTCAGTGTTCAGATACTGATACCTGGAACAGTTAACCGAGTATCCATACACACCCCTACTAGATACATACAGTGAGTGTAGTTAACTAAATAACACTAAACCTTGTTTAGAATCACCTGCAGATCTGAAGGTTACAGTGTCAGATACAGATGGAGGAGTAAAGAAGCTGACCTGTAGCTCCACCTGCACTCTGCCCAACCCCACTTACATCTGGTACAAGAACAGACAGCCTGTATTTAACCAGAACAGAAATGAACTGAATCTGAGAGACAGAACTGTGGATGCAGGCAGCTACTCCTGCGCTGTGAAAGGATACGAGGAGCTCCGCTCTCCTGCTGTCTGTAAGACCTCACTTTAAACTGCACTCAGAACAGAACAGAACCTCCTGAACATCCTGCACTCACTCTGTTATCATCTCACTGGCAGCTACCACTGCATTACAGTCAACTCATGTTCAGTCACTCTGAGAGACACTGATTTTACAGTTTAATATAATTCAGTTTGTGGTTTTGTTTCTATTTAGTTTTTCATGCTTTACTATGTTTCATTTATTTTCTTTCAGGAGTCTCTGTTAGAGTTCAGAGTTATATGCTGCAGTTTCTTTCACTACAGCTTGTTTGTGTGTTTCAGGTGTTTTTGACCTGCAGGTGAAAGTGGAAGGTCCTGCAGCCACAGCGTCAGAGGGACAGACAGTAACACTGACCTGTAACTCCACCTGCACTCTGCCCAGCAACCCCACTTACATTTGGTACAAGAACGGACAGCCTGTATCTCAGTGTGAATCTGCCTCCTGCTCTGTAGCTGTGGTCAGTGAAGTGGTCAACTACAGCTGTGCTGTTGAAGGCAGTGATCACTCTCCTCCAGTGTGTGAGTACAGAGTATCACATACAGAAATAATATATTTATTAATAATCTAAAGCAGTGTTTTTCAACTCTGGTGCTGTTGGTGTTTCTCTTTCATCAGATTCATCTCCTCACCTCATTAACCAGCAGAATGATTGGGAAGTATTGGCCCTCATTCATAGAAGTTATTTACAGTAAAATCTGGCCATAAAATGAATGCATGTGAATTTAACCCCAGTTTTGTTATTTATCCGTTTCATTATTGGTGTATCTGTATGATCAAACTCACATCAAATAGTTTACCTGAAATAAAATGCTTTATCTGTGGTAAACTAACCAAAATCATTATCAATATAATCTATAATCCCAATAATAAGAATACAAATAGAAAATAACAGTAATACTAATAATTTGTGCATATGGCAATCAAATGCAAAAGTCGATGTGCTGTTTTCATTAGTATAAATTAATGCTGTGACTATTCAACGTTCCATTCAAAGACATATTACACTGTGCTTTTTATACAACTGACTTCACCCAAAACATAAACAATGCAAAACACAGCTAGTGCAAAAGCATCTCATACACTACAATAATACAGCATTGGAATGTTATTTTAGGTAAATAATCACAGTTCACAATCACATCATTCTACCATCTTAAAAACCAAGGCATTTTATTTATTTCACATTTTATTCTTTCCAGTGGTCGTAACTTTAACACTATTAAGTTTGGTCAGTAGGGAGAGCTGTGCACTCATTGCTTCACCTCAAACTCCACCTACGAACGCAGCCATCAGCTCATGAGCCGCTGAATCCTTCCTGTTATTGGCTCCCTGCCCAAACATCTGCATGAATTAGTGTGTGATTCATGTAAATGATATGTATATGACATGCTGGTCGGCTGGCACTTGATTTGACGCACTGAGGCTAATTCATCATCTGCGCTCAAATCTCCGCTCACGTCTATGTTTTACAAACGTTTCATGAAGCAGATGCAGAGCAGTTCGTACGTCATTAAAGGCTGTCAGGTCTGCAGTCTAATTTAAGAGAGCAGTGCTCAAATGTGTTACATCCATTATGGGTGCTGGGACGCCACCCTGTTGGTTACTGGTGAAAGTAAGAATTAATTATATTGAAATGTAATGCCTCTTTTCTATTAAACACTGAAATCGTACTTCATTGTATTTGAAACTGCAGGGTTGAAAAAACTGAAAGCCAGTTTACAGCTCTAGGAGCTGTGGTCATGATCTCTATCTGTGCCACTGGACACCAGTTGCAGCACCCTTTATTTTCCTAACTCCTCTGTCAGATTCAGTGCACTGCCCTCAGCCAATCAGCAGCGCAGAAAAATACTGGCTCAGGATGCTGGAGAAAACGCCTTTGACCAATCAAGTGGCCGTTGCTAGCCAAAATTAATACATTGGTTTAAAACAACTGGCCTCATGTTGAAAGATTAAATGTTCAGTAGAAATAATTGGACAGACATCCATTTTAGCAAGTGTTCTTGAAGAGGTTTTAAAAATGTATACTATAATATTTTCACATGGTTTATTACTGCTGTATGTGTTTTGGTTATTATGGTTATAATCTTTTAACTGTTAAAAGTTAAAAGTATATTGTCATTTAGCTAGAATTCCTTTAGTATTATGTTTAGAGATCTTTTTTCTATGGTGGGAGGAATATTAAGTTCATCAACCAGGTTGTGAATGATCACAGGTATTAAAGCAGTAGAGGTGCTGTGGAATCCATTTCCCAGAACTCCTTGGGTGATCATGTGACTGATGAACTTCCTCGTTCGAGCAATGATTGCTCTAAATCTCATGAGTACTGATTCTCTACACCTGTGTTGTACGTTATATGACCTGTTTAGTTTATAAGCCCGAGCTTTAGCTTAGCCTAATTGCGAGGTATCGTTTCTCTGACTCTTTTCTGAATTTCTCATTGTTGTCTTTTGTCTTTGCCCTACTGGTTATGATTGCTCTGTTTTACCATTTTGCTATTATGGATTTGACCCATGCCTGTACCACGACTACGATTCTTGCCAACCCCTTTTGTATTAAAGCATCATCTCTTGGATTTTACTGCAAGCGTCTGACTGGGTCTGTCACGTTACGGTGATACTGGGACATTAGTCTAGTTAGACTGTGGAATAACAGAACCACCTTCCCAGCTGGTAAAACCACACCAGGCACATTACCACTGGTAGGCCAGAACTTACCCAGATTGATCACTGGCTCACTCAAACAAATGAGAATAGAATTTTATTAAGTTGCATTTTTTAAGATAATAACATTTCATTTGTTTTCTGAGTCTTGTCTTTGTCTGATGGCCAGTAAAAATATTATGCTCTCCAGCTCATTCCAGGCCCAAACTCCAAATTATTTTCTTCAACCCACCAGTTCAACCTTTGCTATCCACCATTACCTTGAGCCTTCAGTTCTTTATCAGCATGCCATTGTTTGAATTTGAAGCTCCAGCTGGGCTTAACAGATGCAACTGTGGGATCTGTAAAAGCCACATCTACTTTAAGTAATAAATCAGAAGACACACGTTTAGGTTTTTAAGGGTTGTTTTTGTTTTGTATCACTATAATGCAGAAGTGCCAGAATATGTAGGGCTGATGACTGCATTGCTGTCAGCAATAAGCTATAACCTCATGTGTAATAACAATGATAGTGTTCGTTCTAGAAGACCTCAGTTCATACATGTAATGACTGAATCTTTATCACCTTTCCATTCAGACTCTCCTAAGAACACCAGAGCGGTCATTCTTCCCTCTGGACAGAGAGTGGAGGGAGACTCAGTGACTCTGACCTGCAGCAGTGATGCAAACCCTCCTGATCTCACCTACTACTGGTTTAATCAGAGCTCAGACGTAGAGCTGGGAACAGGACAGAGTTACAGCATCACCAGCATCAGCTCCCAGCACAGCGGACTCTACTACTGCACCGCTCACAACCAGCTCGGACAGAGCCGCTCAGGACCCTCCCGTCTGGATGTGTTATGTAAGAGCAGTTTGTTCTGTATGATCTGTTTGTCTCTGAGTGTAAGAAGTTCAGTAACTAGTCGAGTCTCTGTCTTGTTCAGACTCTCCCAGACCTCCATCTGTATCTGAGATTGAGTTTGATGGCTCAGTCAGGCTGGTCTGTATCAGTGACTCCAACCCTGCCAGCTCTTACACCTGGTTCAGGAAGATAGGAGGAGACATCTCACAGTTTGAAGAAGGAGCCAATTTAACTTTAGCTGCAGGAACAGATGGAGTTTTCTACTGTATGGCAGAGAATCAATTAGGATCATCCAACTCATCAGAATGTACTTTTACATCAGGTAGGTTATGGGATGTTATGTTGCCTTATTAACTGACTACTAGTCAGTAATCAGGCTTTTTATGGTGGTTTACCATGGGGCAGTGCAGTACAGAGCAGTAAAAATCCTACATCTGCTAGATTGTCTGCAGGAACAACGCTCCACTTCACTTTGGGAATGGGTGGGGCTAAACTGCTGTAGGCTGAATGGGTGGGGCTAAACTGCTGTAGGCTGAATGGGTGGGGCTAAACTGCTGTAGGCTGAATGGGTGGGGCTAAACTGCTGTAGGCTGAATGGGAGGGGCTAAACTGCTGTAGACTGAATGGTGGAGCTAAACTGCTGTAGCTGAATGGTGGAGCTAAACTGCTGTAGCTGAATGGTGGAGCTAAACTGCTGTAGACTGAATGGTGGAGCTAAACTGCTGTAGACTGAATGGTGGAGCTAAACTGCTGTAGCTGAATGGTGGGGCTAAACTGCTGTAGCTGAATGGTGGGGCTAAACTGCTGTAGCTGAATGGTGGAGCTAAACTGCTGTAGACTGAATGGTGGAGCTAAACTGCTGTAGCTGAATGGTGGAGCTAAACTGCTGTAGACTGAATGGTGGAGCTAAACTGCTGTAGCTGAATGGTGGGGCTAAACTGCTGTAGACTGAATGGTGGAGCTAAACTGCTGTAGACTGAATGGTGGAGCTAAACTGCTGTAGCTGAATGGTGGAGCTAAACTGCTGTAGACTGAATGGTGGGGCTAAACTGCTGTAGACTGAATGGTGGAGCTAAACTGCTGTAGCTGAATGGTGGAGCTAAACTGCTGTAGCTGAATGGTGGAGCTAAATTGCTGTAGCTGAATGGTGGAGCTAAACTGCTGTAGCTGAATGGTGGAGCTAAACCGCTGTAGACTGAATGGTGGGGCTAAACCGCTGTAGACTGAATGGTGGGGCTAAACCGCTGTAGCTGAATGGTGGAGCTAAACTGCTGTAGACTGAATGGTGGAGCTAAACTGCTGTAGCTGAATGGTGGAGCTAAACTGCTGTAGCTGAATGTTGGAGCTAAACTGCTGTGGCTGAATGGGAGGGGCTAAACCGCTGTAGCTGAATGGTGGGGCTAAACTGCTGTAGGCTGAATGGGTGGGGCTAAACTGCTGTAGGCTGAATGGGTGGGGCTAAACTGCTGTAGCTGAATGGTGGAGCTAAACTGCTGTAGCTGAATGGTGGAGCTAAACTGCTGTAGCTGAATGGTGGAGCTAAACTGCTGTAGCTGAATGGTGGGGCTAAACTGCTGTAGCTGAATGGTGGAGCTAAACTGCTGTAGACTGAATGGTGGAGCTAAACTGCTGTAGCTGAATGGTGGAGCTAAACTGCTGTAGCTGAATGGTGGAGCTAAACTGCTGTAGCTGAATGGTGGAGCTAAACTGCTGTAGCTGAATGGTGGGGCTAAACTGCTGTAGCTGAATGGTGGAGCTAAACTGCTGTAGACTGAATGGTGGGGCTAAACTGCTGTAGCTGAATGGTGGAGCTAAACTGCTGTAGACTGAATGGAGGGGCTAAACCGCTGTAGCTGAATGGTGGAGCTAAACTGCTGTAGCTGAATGGTGGAGCTAAACTGCTGTAGCTGAATGTTGGAGCTAAACTGCTGTGGCTGAATGGTGGGGCTAAACTGCTGTAGGCTGAATGGTGGAGCTAAACTGCTGTAGGCTGAATGGGTGGAGCTAAACTGCTGTAGACTGAATGGTGGGGACTGAATGACTGAATCTTTATCACCTTTCCATTCAGACTCTCCTAAGAACACCAGAGCGGTCATTCTTCCCTCTGGACAGAGAGTGGAGGGAGACTCAGTGACTCTGACCTGCAGCAGTGATGCAAACCCTCCTGATCTCACCTACTACTGGTTTAATCAGAGCTCAGGCGTAGAGCTGGGAACAGGACAGAGTTACAGCATCTCCAACATCAGCTCCCAGCACAGCGGACTCTACTACTGCACCGCTCACAACCAGCTCGGACAGAGCCGCTCAGGACCCTCCCGTCTGGATGTGTTATGTAAGAGCAGTTTGTTCTGTATGATCTGTTTGTCTCTGAGTGTAAGAAGTTCAGTAACTAGTCGAGTCTCTGTCTTGTTCAGACTCTCCCAGACCTCCATCTGTATCTGAGATTGAGTTTGATGGCTCAGTCACGCTGGTCTGTATCAGTGACTCCAACCCTGCCAGCTCTTACACCTGGTTCAGGAAGATAGGAGGAGACATCTCACAGTTTGGAGAAGGAGCCAATTTAACTTTAGCTGCAGGAACAGATGGAGTTTTCTACTGTATGGCAGAGAATCAATTAGGATCATCCAACTCATCAGACTGGACTTTTACATCAGGTATGTTATGGGATGTTATGTTGCCTTATTAACTGACTACTAGTCAGTAATCAGGCTTTTTATGGTGGTTTACCATGGGGCAGTGCAGTACAGAGCGGTAAAAATCCTACATCTGCTACAGATTGTCTGCAGGAACAACGCTCCACTTCACTTTGGGAATGGGTGGGGCTAAACTGCTGTAGCCTGAATGGGAGGGGCTAAACTGCTGTAGGCTGAATGGGTGGGGCTAAACCGCTGTAGCTGAATGGTGGGGCTAAACTGCTGTAGGCTGAATGGGTGGGGCTAAACTGCTGTAGGCTGAATGGTGGAGCTAAACTGCTGTAGGCTGAATGGGAGGGGCTAAACTGCTGTAGCTGAATGGTGGAGCTAAACTGCTGTAGCTGAATGGGAGGGGCTAAACTGCTGTAGCTGAATGGTGGGCTAAACTGCTGTAGCTGAATGGTGGGGCTAAACTGCTGTAGCTGAATGGTGGAGCTAAACTGCTGTAGCTGAATGGGAGGGGCTAAACTGCTGTAGACTGAATGGTGGAGCTAAACTGCTGTAGCTGAATGGGAGGGGCTAAACTGCTGTAGACTGAATGGTGGGCTAAACTGCTGTAGCTGAATGGTGGGGCTAAACTGCTGTAGACTGAATGGTGGAGCTAAACTGCTGTAGCTGAATGGTGGGGCTAAACTGCTGTAGCTGAATGGTGGAGCTAAACTGCTGTAGACTGAATGGTGGAGCTAAACTGCTGTAGCTGAATGGTGGAGCTAAACTGCTGTAGACTGAATGGTGGAGCTAAACTGCTGTAGCTGAATGGTGGAGCTAAACTGCTGTAGACTGAATGGTGGAGCTAAACTGCTGTAGCTGAATGGTGGAGCTAAACTGCTGTAGCTGAATGGTGGAGCTAAACTGCTGTAGCTGAATGGTGGAGCTAAACTGCTGTAGCTGAATGGTGGAGCTAAACTGCTGTAGCTGAAGGGTGGAGCTAAACTGCTGTAGCTGAATGGTGAAGCTAAGCTGCTGTAGCTGAATGGTGGAGCTAAACTGCTGTAGCTGAATGGTGAAGCTAAGCTGCTGTAGCTGAACGGTGGGGCTAAACTGCTGTAGCTGAATGGTGGAGCTAAATTGCTGTAGCTGAGTGGTGGAGCTAAACTGCTGTAGCTGAATGGTGAAGCTAAGCTGCTGTAGCTGAATGGTGGAGCTAAACTGCTGTAGCTGAATGGTGGAGCTAAACTGCTGTAGAGTAGTTTAGTATAACAGTTTTTATCCGTATGAATGCTCTGAAAGGTTCTTTATCTCTGTTCAGCTGAGCTGTGGAAGCAGTTTACTGTTTGGGGAACTGTTGGAGTCGTTTCTGGTTTGGTTCTGTCTCTTATTATTGCTGTTCTCTGTGTTCGGTGAGTGACAGTATTCTTTGCTTATTACTATGAATATCTGAATACGTATTTTAAATGCAGTTTTACTGAACTCAACTTTACCTTCAAATGGAAACTCCTAAAACAGCCCGTTTGTGTTTAATTTGTGTGATCAGGAGGAAGAGAGGAGCAGAGAGAGGAGCTGATGTTCAGGTACTTTTAAACTAGGATGTTGATACCAGAGACGGGGACTCGAGTCACATGTTGAGACTTTCAGCTTGTGGAATTTCAGCCTGAGAAATCAACCCAAACAAAACACATTAGATTAGAGCTGCCAACAAGTGAACGAAACCTTTCATTTCCAACCTTATGTGCATGACTTCATGTGTCATTACCGCAATGGTGTTCACCTGCAGCTCACAGCAGTTTTAGGTCTGATGCAGCTTCAATTAAGTGTTTCATTATGGAAGAACCTTCAGTCTGAAAGACAGAACTGAAGCGCTACAAACAGTAAATGTGGTGTTGAAAGAAAAGAGGCAAAAGATGTTGAAACAGTGTCTAATGTAGTTTGTACACAGACTCCTATTTGATGCTTTATCATACCTGACAGGTGTTTAGTACAGTGTAATGCCTGCAGCTAAACCCTGCTGAAAAAAACACAGCTTAGACCAACATGAAATCCTTGCTGGGCTAAGCGGGTTTATGCTGGTTTAGTTGGTCAGTCTGCATGGTCATGCAGTTGAACAGCATATCAGTATCCAAAACACAGCATATGCTGGTCTACACTGGTTTTTCTAGTAGGAAATAATGAGACTAAAATTGTTTACTTGAGTGTTACATTGAAGAAAGATATACATGTGAGTGTGAAAACAGACTCTAAGGGGTTCACAGAGGGACAAAGACACCAGTATCTGGGTCGGCGCACCCAGCAACGGCCTGTTTATTGAACGAGTCAGAACAGAGGGAGAGAAGAAAAAGAAAAATTCCATCGCTGGGTAAAACTTGGGCCTCAGGACAGGGGCACCCAGCAGAACTTGTGCCATCTAGGGTAGTCTATACGTCTGTGGGGAGAAAAAGAAAGAATGAGAACAGCCCTTGCCAACCCGACTTGCCTTCCTTTTCTGTCCCCAAGCTCCATTTTTAAAGGGTAGGCCAAGCATGCATCATTGAGGTTCAGCTGTGCTCTCATTAGCAGCTCCCAGCCCAGTTGAATGAGGGCAGGTCCAGCTCTTGGCCACGTGCACCTGGCTGTCCACAACATTAGTGCTGAAGTGCTTCTCCTGGCTCTTCAGCACTTTGGAGAAGGCCCGTACTGGCTTGCTTTGGCGCAAGACGGTGGGGCTCTTGAGACCACCGTGACAATATATATGAAAACAATTTATTGGTTGATAAATACCTCACAAATTCCGAGCTGCTGCTCACAACTGTGTGGGTGCATCAGAGCATAAAATGGCAACTCTGAATTGGAGAGTAGAAAGTGCAAAACGGAGAACAAACTGTCTGGTGGTCATTTTAGAGATCTAATTACATTTACAGATAATGTTGGAGAACTCAGGCTTTTATCTTATGATGGGTAGAGCAGACAGATCGTGTCTAATATTTGAACGTTCAGCACTAATGTTATATCTGTATCCTACTGTGCTTCTGAGTCTGAGGTCACACTGAGCTCCCATTATTAGTCAGCGCAGTCAGATTTGCAGACACAGTGGAGAAACTTCTGTGTGCCTCATTGTGCCTCACGCCTGTCAAATTCAATTGTGGGAAACACAGTGAGCCTTGATGTTGGGGGAGTAGCTAATGTATTAGCCTTTTGTTCCTACGTTTAAGGTGGACTGCGTTCGATCTCGCTTTCACAAATGAAATTAATCACTTATAGTAGCAACAAGTAGCTAATGCAAGTTGGAAGCAGCGTTTAGCTACACTGCAAACAACGCTGTAATAAACTTTAATAACAAGCACCGTTAACAAATTTAGAAAAGCTTATATCAGCTGCTTGTTTTGTCTGGGACTCAGAGCAGCGAGAGATCAGTCACTATGCGAGGAGCTGATGTTTACATATTACTAATTCTAATTAGTACTTTGACAGATCACCTGTGTCAAATTTAGTCCCACTCAACTCAAATCAAACAGAGGAAAATGGCAAAAATGTCATTTTCAAAAAATCTCAACCAAAAAGACCAACAGCATTTTTCTCTGACAGTTCAGAATAAAAATATCACAAACTGTAAATCATAAAACAAAATCATGAAAATTAACAGACAAAAAAAAATAAATTTTTAAAATTTTAGCACCCTCAACCTAAAACACTGTGTACCTGTTTGAGCATCTCTGGCTGATCCTAAATATAAACTGAAGCTGTTTCTCCTCGTCTCTCTTAAAGGCTCCAAAGTCTGGAGACGACACTTACTCAGCTCTGAACCCCAACACCACGTCCTCCGACTACGACACTCTGACTGTAAGTCTGCTGTGTGTGTGTGTGTGTGTGTGTGTGAGTGAGAGAGAGAGAGAGAGAGAGTTTGCACATGCGATTTGTGGGAGCGGGCCCACTGCGATGACTCCTATCTGCTTCGTGGGCTCACCCGATGGAAACTGCTGAAGTTGGGCCCAGGACTGCCCTTGCGGTCCCTTGCATGCTGCACCCAGGTCACACCTCCTGCAGAAGTCCTCTATATCCTGCCTTAGCCATTCCCAGTAGAAACTCTGGCAAAGTCAGCAAAGATTTTCCTAATTCAAAATGACCGAACCCTGCAAAGCCATGCATGTCCTATAAAACTGCCTCCTGCAGCTGCCTGGGCACGACAACCTGCCATCTCCTTTCTCATCGGCTCCGTCCAGGCTTGCTGTAGGACACTATCCGCTAGCCTCAGAGTGTCAGACTTCCAGGACTTCCACTTCCATGACACTCAGACCCCGAATGTCATGATGAAGTGGTCTTGGGTAGATTTGCTCTGTACAGGAGATGGTGTGTGATCATGAGCCCATATAGCAAAGGTTTCTTAATGGTTCCCCTGCCTGTCTTTGGCAGTTACACAGTTTAGACCAAAGAAACTCGGGCCGAAAACACTGCCCAGAACACTAGACAACTCTTGCTACTTGGGAACCAGTTCAAATTTTGCATGGACAGCCTCCTTATCTGCTTTACTAGAGTATTTTGAAGTCTTAATGCTTACCGTTAAAATGCTGCTTATGCGCTTGATTTGTTTACATCTGCAACTTGATATCCAGCTGTTGGTCACAGCTGAGCCATACATAAGCAGAATCTTTCAGTTTGCCTTCTGACTCAGCTCACGTCTCTCTCACAGCTCAGGGACACCCACACATACCCCAGCCCTGCACTCCCCAATAAGAATCTCCAGAAAAATAAGCACAGTTAACAAATGCCAAAAAAAACACAAACTGAAGTTAACATGACCCAAACACTTATTAAACACGCTACCATATTCTTTTATTTTACAGCATGTTAGAGACTCTCCCAGTGACACATACTCAGCTCTGAACCCCAAAACCATGACCTCTGATTACGACACTCTCACAGTAAGTCTGGTGTGTTTCTTTGTTTGAACATTATTGTGGTTATTAGTGTGTTTAGTTTTAAAATTAATTTACAGATTTAATTTTCATGTTACACACGTCAGGATTCAGTATAGAGTAAAGCGTTAACGATACACTCCAGTAGCAAATAACTGAATGACACATGACAAGATTCCAATTTTCAACAGTGCAGCATGACTTGAACAGTAATATTTAATATTCATTATGAAGAGAAGTTAAACATGGATAATGGCTACCACATAGAGATGAAGAAAGCACCAGTTGGTTCTCTTGATCTAGAACAGCAGGAGAGAATTTATCTCAGCATACAGGAGCCTGTACTGTACGAGTTTGAGCCTGTGGAGCGCCGAGTTTAGGATAAAGTTCGGCTGCTAATGAATCATCAACTCTTCAGTTTTGTTTCTGCTGTGAAACAGGTGTGAATCTAAAAAGATCTGCCATCTGTTACTCATTTGTGCTAGTTTCCCTTTGGGGGTTTGTAGTGTTGTTGGCGCCAAGCTAGCAGTGTATAATCACATCTGATGCCAATTCTAGCTTAAACACTGGCGCATGAAGCTTGAAACAGGCTTAAAATACCAATTATACTTTTTTTCAGCATTTTGAGCTCTGTTCTCAAACATATATTTCGCAGAGCACCTGGCTCTAATTTCCAAATAAACCCATTTCTGCCACCAGTCAGCATCACAGCTGATATTTTGAAGAAGTCCTGTCAATCAGCAGTCACAGAAATGATTTACATATGTAACCATTATTATATGTGATTATATGTGAATAGAAAGTAAATAAATAAAGCTCATTTCAAATAAACTAGTACCAAAAAATGAAGACAAATCAGAGGCTCTGAACTCTTCACAAATGCACTCTTTGCTGCTAAAAGATATAAAGTGAAATACAGTGTGGCTAATAACGTTAGCTGAGGTGAAAACAGATGAGTAACATTTGTCTGTTAATAATAATAAAACTTTTCAAGAACCCAAAGACACAATTTTAATAATTCAGACAACAGTAAACAAACACAACAGTACAGAAGAACACAGCAGTGAAGAAGACGAGGTGGAGATGTAATGAGAAGGTTGGATTAGATCAGTGGTGTGTTGTAGGTGAGAGAGAAGAGACGGGTTTAGAGATTTGATCTGAATATATAAAGAGAATTAGACGGCTGGACTTGTGGAGGAAGAGAGTTCCAGAGACGAGGAGCAGAACTAGGGAATGTTGGAGGCTGTGAAGTTTGGATGGAGGAATGTTCAGTAAATCAGCTGAAGAAGAGCAGAGAGAACAGCTGGGTTTACAGTGAAGGAGGAGATCAGACAGTAAGAAGGAGGGAGGTCAGTCAGAGCTTTGAAGTGAAGGCGGTGCTTTACAGGAAGCCAGTGGAGATCATGGAGAACAGCTGTAATGTGGTTATGAGAGCGAGGATGAGTGAAAGACGAGAGTTCTTGTGAAGGGAAGAAGAGCTGATTCTGCAGGTAGAGAGTTACAGTAGTCTGAACCACTGAAGATGAAATCGTGTAGAAAAGACATTAGAATTTTATTACAAACTGAAGATCAGATTTGACTGAAATGCCCGTCACTGATTCTGACAGTCAGCCTGCAGAGAGTGTTCAGTTCTGTACGCTTCTGTTTTCATCCTCAGCCTGTTAGAGACTCTCCCAGTGACACGTACTCAGCCCTGAACCCTGAAACCAGGACGTCTGATTACGACACTCTGACTGTAAGTCTGCACTCTGTGTACCTTCATTCTCTGGTTGAGCTTCATAACAGTTCCTAAGATCTCCTGTTTTTCAGGTTGTCCGTCCTCACCCAGTGATGAGAAGAGCTCCAGAGAACGAGAACTAACAGCTGTGTTCATTTACTCTTCATTCACCACTGTAGCTTCAGCTCTATGGACAGAACATTAAAGAGGCGTACGGAGGATTTCTGAGGATTAAAGAGCTTTTAGAGCTCAAAACACATCAGATGATTCCTAAAGTCAGAGTGATTCTCTCAGATCAGTCAGAGGAGCTTCTGTTTATGAAGGGTCTTTATTCACTGTTGTGCTTTTATACACCATGATGATTCAGACACGGACCAGAGTCAGACAGTTCTGATCATTCAGTATGAACAGAGTTAAGATGATATGAATCCTGTTTGATTACAAATGTCAGTGTGTACAATCAGGTTTATTAATATTGTTTTGTTCCCAGGTTTGTATATTTTAAATCAGTTTCTGTAGTTTTATTCTTGTGTTTTCATTATTTTAGATAAGTAGATCCTCTTAAACTCTTCTATAGTTGTTCTATACTGTCATTATTCTAAATGTGCTATTAAAAACAGACCATTAATAAAGTTTTGAAGCAGGTTTTGTTTTCCTGTTTAATGAACAGTGAACAGGTGAGAGATTCCTGGATGGATCTGCTGGCTGTTTTCATCACTGCTTTCCTTCAGCTTCCTTATTACAGCTCTTCCAGTTCAAGTAAAACTAGCTGTGAGTAACTGGTGGTGATAGACACATCTTAACTCTGAAATCTGATGTGTTTAGTCTCCATGACGACTTCAGTGCAGGCTGAATTTCAGACATTATCTATTACAGCATAACAGTTCCTAACTTCATAATCTCATCATGAACTCCAGATAAGAAAACAGCATCACACAAACATCCTAACTACACTAAACCTCCTAAATCCTGTCCTAACTTTAGGATGAACCCCAACAGGGTCCTCACTTCTGTTTAAGGTCCGTTTCTATGGTTTTTAGGCAGCTGTGTCAGCAGCATAGTTCACTACCAGCATAATGAGCTCCATTTATTTCTACTGTAAAACGCTGCTTTCACTGTGAGATGATTTTCTTTTCTAACTCTGCATTTTAAAAAACTCGATCCCTTTGTATATTCAACCCTAAAAAGTTTCCAAAATTTCCAACAAAGTTGGGATGCTGTGCAAAATGTAAATGAAAACAAAATTCAATGATGTGCAAATCATGTAAACCCTAAAATTAATTGAAAATACTACAAAGACAACATATCAAATGTTGAAAGTGAGAAATTTTATTGTTTTAAAAAAATGTCTGTTTTGAATTTGATTCCAACAACATTCCAAAAAAGTTGGGATGGGGAAAACAGAAGGCTGGTAAAGTTGTGTAATGCTACAAGAAATACCGGTAACACTTTCTATGAATGTCACATTTGTAAGCATCTATAAACACATTTATAACATGTTATAATGTATTCATAAGGCATTATACACATGGTTATAAATATTTATAAAAAAGAATTACACTGAATTACACTTTATAGCCATGTTTATTATACATTATGAATTGTTAATATAATGCATGATAAATAGTGTTAATAACATGTTATACTGTCAGTGCCAAAGAAGTCAGTCCCAGCTTGGAGAGCGTAAAGTAAAGACAAATACCAAGCTAACGGTGGTGTACATTGACTTTCCCACATTGGGTAAAACACTGATGGCAGCTCTAGTTTAAACTCTGACATGTGCAGCCTGTAATGTGCTTTACTGTGAATGTTTTAGTGTTTCAGTAAATCCTTTAGTAAATACTTCAACTTGAAGCCTCACTCTGAACACTGGAGGAGGCTTTAGTACAGTACGCTTCACTTTACTTAGAGTGGACAAATACAACTTATGAGCTCTTATAATTTGTTATGATCAGTACTTATAATGTATTAACAGTTCATAATGCATAATAAGCATGGCTATAACGTGTAATGCATTTTAATTTTAATAAATATTTATAGCCATGTTTATAATGCCTAATGAATGCATTATAACATGTTATGAATATGTTTATAGATGCTTACAAAGGTGACATTCACAGAAAGTGTTACCGAAACACCTGTTGGTTAATTGACAACAGGTCAATAACATGATTGGGTATGAAATGAGCATCTCAGGGAGGCGAAGCCTTTCAGAAGTAAAGATGAGGAGGGGTTCACCACTCTGTGAAAGACTGCACCATCAACGATCAACAATTCAAGAATAACGTTTCTCAACATAAAATAGTAAAGAACTTTTGCTTTTCATCATCTACAGTACATAATAACATTAAAAGATTCAGAGAATCTGGAGAAATCTCTGTATGTAAGGGACAAGGCCAAAAACCAGTATATGCTGGCCGTGATCTTTGGGCCCTCAGACAGCACTGCATGAAAAACAGACATGATTCTGTAGTGTACATCACTGCATGGGCTCAGAAACACTTCTGTCTGTGAAAACAGTTCATCACTGCATCCACAAATGTTTAAGTGATTTGCATTTTGTTTTTATTTACATTTTTCACAGCATCCCAACTTTTTTGGAAATGGAGTTGTATATTAATGTGAAAAACTGTGTTATAATACACAGATCACAAATTTAGAGGAAATAAGGCAGAAGAAATAGAATCTAGTCTGATCAGTGACACAGATAATCCATTGATGAACTACAAACTGACAGTTTCTCCCACAGACCTAATGATAGTCATCACCACCATATATTACACAGCCAGGATCACAAAAACTAAAGATGTAAATACGACCCAGGAATCACTGGTTTAGTTGATCCTGAACATCATACAGGCCAAACAAGGCGTTTTCAGAGTTTGTTTCTCTTCATAACAGAAATCAAGCCTGTGAGATCTACCAGTATTATCTGAGCATAAGATCACAGGAGTTTGAGTTTGTAGTGATGAATGCAGTGAATGTTTCTGTTCTGCACTCACAGATATTCATACTGAGCCTCCTGATATGAACCAGCACCATGACTATTAATGCTGCCTTTAAAACACATCGTACTGCACTTTTCCTGTTTAACTGTTTAGGAAATAAATATATCCACTGTGTTTAGATTAAGTCGGATGGTTAAACAGGAACAAAGAGAGAAAACAGAAGAGGGCCCAGTTTCCCAAAAACACCTTAGTGTTAAGATCATCTTAACTGGGAGAGAGAGAGTTCAGAGTGATGCTCGCTCTACCATTTAAGAATCATCTTTGTGCTCAGATGCTTTTGGGGAACAGCCATAACTGTAGGAAGAGGAGGAGCTCTAGAAAAATCAGTGATAAAATAATAACAAACAAACATTTTTTAGAAAAATAATCACACCATGTCATTTTCCCCATAATTACACCATTCCTACTGTCTGAAATATGAAAATGAGACGCTTTATTATTTTCACATTTTAGTCCCTCCAGTTGTGTTAATCTAAAGCAGATAAAGCAGTTTGAGCTCCTTCCAGTAGGGGGCGCAGTGCACCACCTGTTCCCCCCAAACTCCTCCTGTGTAGAAGACCAGCTGAAGTGTGGGTCACTGTTCTCAGCCACTCTTCCTGTAAGTGCAGTGACCTTCACTGTTTCAGCCTCTCATCACTGGATACTGTCAGTTATTCAGTCTCTCTCTCTGTCAGTCAGTAATTAAAGAGACTGTCACACAACAGTGCAGGAATCTGTCAACCAAAATGACCATCATTGTTCTTTATTTGACAGTTAATAGTGAATTCATGCAGGAGCCGATCAGAGCTAGAAGCACCAACAGATTAAGGAAATAATCAGACAGTCGCTTTAAATCAGTCTGAGTTATTCAGTAATACTGACACTCAGTGTTACAGCCAGTAATGTAGTCAGGCTGGAATGCAGGCAGTTCAAATGAAAAGGGGAATGCTGCAGACCGGAGCCTTAAAGGGGAGGTAACTGGGGGCGGGAGTCTGTCAATCATTTTTAGCATCAACCAATTAAATAACTACTTTTGGCCGTCAATCACATTTTGCCTTGGCCAGCCGCACATTAGAACGAGCTGTCCGTCATTTTTTGCATTAGCCAATCTAAGGGTCTGGCTGCAGACCTGCACCGCCAGCCTGTTAACGGCATCAGCGCTGCTCTGACACGACAGAGTTTCTGTTGGTTTTATGTGGGAAAAACAGCGAATCACGAACTGCTGGGCAACAAGAGTCACACTGAATGTACATTAACGTTGTCATAGTGATAATAAGGTAATTAAATGTGGAAACTTTCAAAATAAAGCCACGATAAAACATAATGTCGGGTTTATTCACAGAAACACAAACAGACTACTGAAACTGATGAAAGCCAGGCTGAAGACGATCAGAACCGTTAGGAATAAAACCTGATGGTTTTGCTTCCTAATGGGAATTGGCTTGATGCCGTTAGAGAACTTTAGGAAACGAACAACTGTATATGGAATCAGTTCCAGAACACCCGATTAAATGATTTGAATCCCTTACACTGTGATAACCCAGAACACCATTAGCGACTACTGAAAACCACCAGGAACCGACAGACGCTTTTAATGGGTTCTATGACTTTTTTCAACTGGGAGGTAAATTAATGTAGTTCTCTGGCGGTGTTCTGGACGGAAAATGGATTAAGTGATGAAATCGCTAAGCAGAAGCAGCCAAACAGTAACGTGTAATCTAGATGTTGTGAGAAGGAGAATACTGCAGACCCGAGACCTAAAATCATCATAAGAACAAAACACTGAAGGCAAACAGTTCCATTAGGAACCGAGTGGCTATGAAATCACTTTTAGTGAACAAGCAAAGTTTAGGTGGAATCAGTGTTTGAATAAACTCAGAAAAAGACACGCCGGTCAGAACTGCACATATTTCTATACTGTGTTCATGTATTTACCTACAAAGTCAGGAGGAACGTGTTCTATCAGTTCACTGATGCTTTGTGTGAGATGGTCAGTCAGTGTTTGCATGAACTCCGTCCTGCTTTACCTGCCAAAGAGACCTAAGCATGTACATATAAGCATATAAGTGAAACAATACTTATAATAATGCCTTGATCTGAAATAAGAAATTAGGTGATATTTAAGGCAACTTCAAAGCTTTAAACTCTTCCCACTTCCGCGTGCCTGAACTGTATGGAACGCCTTTTTGCACTTTCCTTCAAACCATTAGCTGATGCATAAAATGAGAGACAGGTACTACCCCTTGTGATTGGCCAATGCAAGTTTTGATTGACAGTCCATCTCTGTTATATGATTGGCTGATGCAAGAAATGATTGACAGTGTCTCCGCCCATTCGTTACGCCCACTGGTTCTCCGGGCTGCAGATACATATACTTGGTTCAAATGGGCACTTT